CGGCATGTAATACCGCTATTACAGGGGGATGGTTTCTCATAGATATCAGATTTACCAGACCGGTTTTGTCATCTACGCTTGAAGGTATTGTCGCTGCCTCAACGTGTAGACGCGTTTTGTTGCACACACGCAGCTGGACAAACGAGTGACCCCATCTTTCTGCGTCTAATCCCACTCCGTTTTTGTTTGTTTCTAGGTGAAGGCCTCCAACTTCCAGTCGGCCTCACAGAACTCCTGGTCTTCGCAGTCCCAGACGTCCAGTACGCAGTCGTGGCTCTCGATGGCTCCCTGCGCCTTCCCCCTCTTTACACAGATCAACAGCACTCAGGTTAGTGGCCTTCTCTGAATTATGAAATTGTCAAACAAGAGTATAAGACGTTTTACTTTTGCTGATTTGTTAAGGCGGACGAATCGCACACACTGGTGGAGAGAGGTTTTCCAATTAGGCCGCAGCAGACAGCCTCATAGTTGTTACACTATCTTTTATAGGCGATTTCTCTTGAACTAGCTAACCCTATCTTTAGAGTGTATGACTTTGGGCACGAAATTTATCCGTTGTTGTTTCAGCCGTCTTTAATTCGTCACCTGTGGGAAAGTTCGCCAGTGGTTGGTTTTATTGTCTTGTTCATCTTAGCTGTGGAAATATTCTTTTGCTTGAACTGTTGTCCCCACTCATATCGGCGTTTTAAAGGAATGGTTAGGTAATATAGAGGGGGTCCCAAAGTGTATGCACATTTTACATAATTGTAAAATTGGTGTTTATCACATTTTTCTTTCAAAAAAATGTAAAAATGTTAACAAGTATCATTTTTACTGTTTTTTTTTTTCACTGAATGTTCTCAAACTGACCTCTATTTTGATCGCGACACTGCTGACAACGCGAAGCAGTGGAATCGCACGCACCACGAAACAATTCCCTTGGTATTCGGGTGAATTCATGTTCAGTGGCTTCTCTCAATTCAGCCACTGTTGTAATAGTCAAAATGCAGTGAAAAAAAAACAATAAAATGACACTTGTAAATATTTTTATGTTTTAAATAATAACATTGTAATTTTGCAAATATTCCCATTTTACGATTGAAAATTCGTGTTGGCGAACCTATGTTTTCGGCAATTCATCATCGGGCCAGTATAATACAAGGACAAAAATGGTCAGTTATAAGTGATGTAGTTATTAATAATTAATAATCATAATAACCGCCAAGTTTTAAATTATTTAAAATGTGTATACCTTTTCTTGGGATACCCTATATTAATGTTTTTGCTGTTGTCTCTGATGATTGATCCGCGACGGTTTTCGAAACGTCAGGCGCACAAAAGTCTTGTCCCAGCAATTACATCTGCTTTGTCCCAGTGTATCTCGTTTCTTGTTAATGAATTCCTTCATCGGAATACCGGCTTTTAACTGGACAAAGTAGGCTTATCAATAGTTTTCAGCGGGTTATACCTAATTCCACGTCTGACATGAACTGTTCTTTCGAAGCCGGCCTCCCTGATCATTAGTGATTACTAGTTCAGTAAAGGCAACGCTGATACCAGGAAATGGAAACTTACTGGCTTGACTTTTCGTAAGTTGTCTTAACTTGCCCCTGGAGACACCGTCCCTCTGTTATGATGGATTTGAATATAACGTCGGTTAATTAGTCCCTTCCATTATAAATGTTGCTTGCTTTCGTTGACGGTTTTCTCTCTGAAGATGGACTCCCGCAAGAGTTCGAAAGTTCAGACAAATAAAACTGCGATTCCGGTGATCGAAACTACTTCTTCTCAATCTATAATGTCAATATCGCCCTCGAAGTAAACTCATTTCTCCGTCTTTAGGTGCATTTTGTATTTTATTTTTTCGCCGGTAGAAAGTTTATGCAAGGAAGACTTTTATATTTATCCGATTGTCTTTCTCTCTCCCAGGTGGTCCAAACTGCTGTGACGCTGCCCTCGGATTCAGCCCGCAATGAAGCCCTCTGCACAGAGATTGTGGGTCTTTTACAACGCCTGGTATCCTCCACACTCCTCGCCTCTTCTCCAGCCACCCAGCGTGATGATCCAGAAGCTCTGGTCAAGTCAGACATATACTGGGTAATTGCCAAAACCGCTTTACAGTGGCTCAATTTTTGCTCAATCATGGGAGCCATCTTATATTGCTTCACTACTTGCAGTATTCACCAGCCCTGAATTATAAGCAGACTTACTGAAGTCAACTGTGGTAGCTTCTTAATTAGTATAATGCACTGTGCCGTAAGTAAACAGAAAAAAACTTTAAAAAATAAATTGGCGAGCATACATTTGCTTTCGATAAATTCTCTCCAGGCCTGAACATTTATATGATAATAAAGTAAATGAACTATGCGGGTTAGTAAGAAAAAAGGAGTGTGGTTGTCCGGACGGTGGGAGTAGGGGAATGTGTGGTCCGGAAGTGAATTTATCGAAGGCAAACATATGCTCGCCACTTAATCTTTTCATATTTTCAGTAGAGATCTTTGCGAATTTGGAAAAGTCACACGAAATGTCCAATACTGCAACCCTTGGGTTAACGCCGTGATAAAGCCAGGCACATAGCCGCCATTTGCGAAACCGTGTCCTCGTTGGCCGTTTGGTGAGAGTACCTAGTGGGTTCTCAGAAGGGTCCATATGTATTATAACCGCCTATTTATAAATTTTAAGTAGATTGATTTGCCCACTATCTTCCAGTTTTCTGCACGCCGGCCGATAACCCAGTAGGGATTTCGTGAAGGCATCGAACTACAGAGGGGTCCTCGGAACGTCGCCGCATAGAATAACCGCTTAAGTCAGCATATTAAGCAAAAATGGCTTTTCAAATTAACCACGGGAATAATCGCCTACTT